AAATAGATAAAGAGGCTCATAATTAGTTAGTAATGGCAGGTTAGACACCTCAGCAGGAGAATCTTGCTGCTCCTCCGAGCCCACGACAGACGGACCCTGCCAATAAGGGCCTGGAGTTAATTAAAAGACCCGGTCGTGCTCTGAGGTCTTAAGTGTCCTTATTCTGATGGAATGTTAAAACCCTCCTCTACATAACCACTCGACAGGCTCCAATGGCTGGTGCACCTCTCAATAAAATTACAGCTGACTCTTTCCTTCCTCTCTTCTCTCCTCCTCTGAAGTAGGTCTGGAATGATTGAATCTATTATGGATTAATCTGTTGTATGTTATTTTTTTTGAGTGATTGATTCAAAGAGACACTCCACCAATTTTACTAATCCAAATCAGTTTCCCATTAATGAGAAGTACTGCTCAGCTAGTGAAAACAGTTGTGTAGTATCTTCTGTGGCTTTGGATGAGCTCTCCAACGTCAGAAAGATAACCAACCCTGATGATGTTTGTATTTTTTAACAAAAGCCTGTTACAAACTGAGGCCATAGGGTGTGAACACATGGGATTTTATGAGGCAGAAGGGGTCTGACTTAGAGATGCTATTGATTTGCATTATGGAAAATTTAAAACTAGGATCCAGTGTTTTTAACCAATCTTTTGGAAGTGTGATACTAAATTAAAAAAAAAAAAATAGAATCTCGAATTGTTTGGTGTCATCTTCAGATTGCTTTTGTGTTGGGTTTTGTCCAACTAAAACTCAAAGATCGTTCATTTACAATTAACTAAAACACAGCAAACCAGCAAATCCTCATATTTGTCAAACTGGAACCATTTCCACATTTTTCTTGAACGACTTTAAACATTTAAAGGACCAGTGTGTAGGATTTAGTGGCATCTAGCAAAGTTGGAGTTTGCACACACTGGCCACAAAACTTACAAAAGGCCCTATCTAGAGCTAGTGTTTGATTTGTCCACTCTATGCTACAGAAGAAACAAGGCGGTTCAACATGGTGGCCTCTGTAGTTAACAACAGCTCATCTTAAGGTAACAAAAACTCAACAATTCTTATTTTCAGGTGATTATGAATATTATATTCCATTTCTGCCAATAGATCCTCCTAAATGTTACACACCGGACCTTTAATCAATATCATATATACAATCAGATTGCTTTATCAATAATCAGAAGACAATGGATGGATAATACATAAGACGCCTTCCTAGTCATTTATAGAACATCATAGGATCATAGGGTAACAGAGAGAGAAGAGGTCACTCTGCAGTATTGAGACCTGGCCCAGATCGTGAGCAGACAGAGAGGATAAGTACTCTGTTCCAACTCTTCCTGCTCTGTTTTACAGCCCCAAACTCCTGGGAGCAGCTGTGAGCCTGTTCAATTTAGGCCAGACAGATGGAGACAGTGTTTGCGGTGATTGCATTAACATATCCAACCCCGATGAGGGAGGCGGTTTTGGAGGGAGGGCCGACGAGTTGCTTCAGAAAGGAAGGGCAAGGAAGGAGGAGACAAAGGACGGCGGACAAAGGCTTGGAGCTTGCTGATTTTTCTCATTACCTATCCTCATTTCCTTCCCCTTTTCTCTCTCTCTTTATCCCCCTGGCTTTTCTTTTCTTTTGTGTCTTTACCACCCCTCACTCTCTCTTTCTCTCTCGTTAAAGATGGCTGCAGGCTGATGAAAAGCAGCCATGTGGTGGCGAATACCAGCAGCTTAACAGGTGAGAGAGCAGAAGGTGAGAGGCAGGAATCAACCTCTCCCCTGACAGAACACAGAACACACCGGAATACCAACCACCATGCTTGCTCAGACACACACACGCAATCGTAGACCCACGCCTACACAAACCTCCACACACCAAACATACGCACACACACACAGTGTTAGACAACACTTTGCCACACAAGCAGTGTTCACCACCAACTCTTAATAGTCTCACATGACTTGGACTAAAGTCTCGAGTCGCAGATGTGATGACTTCAGATTTGACTTGCCAAACATAAAAGCATGTGCATTAAATCTGCTGTTTATATCTGTATATTATTTTATTTAGTACGTAACCACAATGAAATACAGACCAAGTAAAGTCATTTCTGTTTCCATTTAGATTTGCTTTATGCTTGCCCTTTATTGCTCACCTTCCCTTTTTCCTCTCTGTTGCTTATCATAGTGAGGCTGTTATTTCTGTTTGTGGGGATAAATGGATAGGGAGAGATAGTGCCTAAACCAAATCATGCATCATTTGTGAACAGCCATGTGACTCAGCGAACAGACTGCATCTTTTAATGTGCAACCTCGTATCTTAACTGCCTTTTTTTAGAATGCTGATAAGGTTTGGAAAGCTCAGTTTCATATGTCAGGTGTTCCATCAATTCAGTCACAGCCACGTGTAATGTGTGTTGGCCATAACTCCCCTGTTACTGTTCATCTCCTCTAAATCTTAAAAAGAAAGCATATAAGAATATTTCCTAAAATGTTGAACTTTACTCCAGTGCCCTGCTAATGGAGCCCAGAGGCTGCAATGTTCGTTGCAATGCACAATACAAAAGTGTTGGGAGCAATTCTGAATACACAACATACTGTATTTACTTTGCTGTTTGTCTCAGGCCAAAGATTTACTCAAGGGGAAACTTCAACCTGATGATGCATCTAGATAAAAAATCACAAGGTCACCAAAATAATTACAGATATTCCTTTGCGGACCACAAATATTTATACATAGTTGCATGTCAACCGGCAGAGTAATTATTAATAACAATATCTTTGGGGATATCTTGCTCAAGATTCTGGTGTTGGACAGACTGTCCAAACTCAGTGACAGAAGGCGATGTTCTCTGCTCAGGCAAAAATGTGATGCAACTACACTTTTACTAAACATAAAAAGCATAACAAGAGCTCTAATCTGCACACTCTGGCTTTGAGTGTTTCCTCTCTGTTATGAAGTGTGTGACACCCCCACCTGGAGCAATCAAACACCAGAGGGAGTGTGAGTCAGTCTGCATATCCAGGCCGACTGAGAGCTGCATGCATCCACACTGATCATTAGCAGCAGCAGGGAGGCTATAAACTCTGGAAATTTTCTGTCTCCGTATAGGTGGGAAAATGTCTGAGTACCAAACCTTATGAAGTGCTGAAGTCTGAGGGCTAAATGATAAGAAGTTGAAGCTGAAGTGTTTTGGTGTGTGTGTCACTGTTCCCCCATTAATATTCTTGTTGGTGCTGAAAGGGCTCTTCAGCACAGCTGCAGCTTGTTTTGGTGGGTTGTTCAGCTTTTGTATTCAACAGTGAGGGCAAAGTGAAGGAGTAATGCATGGATAAGGATTATATTACAGTCATTTTACTTTCTACAGTGTCTATACAGATGAACAGATCTAAAAATATCCCCACCTTCATTCCCCAATTTGTTTTTATGATCTTCACACCCTGAGCTAAAGTAGATGATAAATGTCATTTTTCTAGCTGTATGAATTCTGTTATATTCTATTGAATTTAAATTATAGCATAAATGCTGTATCAGTTTACCACTGTTATTCATGCTTATTGAGATCAATTATCTGAAATAAGCCCTTTAAGGAAGTATGCGACTGCCAATTTGACGACTGTAGTGTATAATAGATGCTCCCAGAAGAGTAATCATAAAAGTAACATAACTTTTTAAATAAGTATCAATGTGTTGACTAATCATTTGTGTGTCCATATGTGCCTTACAGACATAATAAACCGGGTGGATCTATATTAGGGTTCAAAACTGGGAACTGAGATCCCTGTGCTACAAGGAAATTTAATCAAAATCTACTCCCTTTTTCCCAGGAAAAATACTTGCTGGAACCCAGCAGTTTTATCATATGTGTTAAAAAAAACTGAAGAGTATTGTATGCACTAAAACAAAAGCACCTTCTCCTTATTACCACCGACAACCAACTGTTCTAAAATTCTAAAGTCGACCTTTTAGCTGCAATCATTTCTTCCAATTACTGCATGACTGCATCAACCATGGAAGCCCCCATCCAGAGCAGCATTCAACAGGTTTACCATTAAGTGCATCCAACAACACTGCTCCTGTGCCTCAAAACATGGAAACAACATGGTTCCTTTGCTGACATTGCATTGCAGTACTATCCACAGGTCAGCACTATAAAGATGGTCATGTATGCTTCCTTACAGGTATACTCATTTGGATTTGGATAAATTTTTACCACATGATCTATGGAACTGATTACATATAATATATATAATATAGAATTAAACATCAGAAGGAAACATTCAATCCTGCTCTGTACAAGTAGATGTTCCAACTTTGAAATGTCTGAATCCTGTGCTCTGATTCGACGCCAGTTCAAATAAAGTATCTTGACACTAGAGCTGTAAAAATGCACATGTTCATTTTAGTGATTAATTTGAAATATTTAAAGCGATTAAAAAAATTAACACAGTTGTGTTTTGCTTACTTCCTGTGGATGCTGACCTATGACCTGTGACAACGTATGTACCCAAACCGAACCATCCTGGCTAAAGATGAATAAGGACAAGGATGGCGTTTTAGCCGGAAAGTTTGACTTCAGCAAGTTCCCCGATGGATCTTTGGAGAAAACAAAAGTAATCTGCACAGTTTGCTAAGCCTAATTTAATTACCACAGAAGTAATTTGTCTCTTACATATCACTTCAAAGCAAACATCCCACCGAAACCATCTCTATGTGGCCTCTCCAATTTCACTGTGGTACTTGGGGGGGCGAATAATGAAGTCTGTAAGTGAGAAGGTAACTAATGGCTAATTAACAAAGTAGAAGATGATGGACTGAGACAAATCGTTCGAATTGCATTATCCTTAAGAGGAACCATTGTGTCAAGAATACATACTTAGTATAAAAGCAAGAGGGCACTAAGAACTGCATCATTTATGTTTAAAAGATATCAAATGAAGAACCATAATTGGTTTCCTTCAATCAAAAACCTGCATGTGTAGATGGGTGCAGTGCTCTAATATGTTCACTCACACATTGGTCGTGAAGATGCCGTAGATGAGGTCTTGCTCAGGCAAGTAGAAGGTGCTCTGCAGCTCATTGTAGTAGAATGGGATCTCCCCGGAGCGGGAACAGTTGAGCCTCGCCTTCATGAAAGTGGTCCAGGTGTCCTCCAGGAGGAATCGCCCGCCGATGTCGTTCTTGCAGACTCGCGCCACTCGGGAGTAGACTGTCTTGCCGCAGTCATGCTCCACTGCGTTCTCCCTCAGGAAGAAGAAGGTGAAGAGGCCAATGTCGTAGGCTGAGATGAAGTGGGGCTCTGCCAGGAGGAAGGAGAAGGGACAAGGCAGGGAGGGAGAGGATCATTACACAGTGACTCCAGGGAAATAGAAATATTTGCAACATTTATCTTCTAGATGTTGTTGCTTTGACCCCTGTACTCCTTATTATTGATTACAGTAAAAACTTGGATATTCTACTGTGGCACTCCTGTTCAAGATGTTCTTGAACAGAGCCTCAAAGTCAAATGTGTAAATAAGAGGAGAAGGTGCAGAGGGAGGAGGAGGGAAGAGAGAAAAAATGGTTACTAATAAATCCGTCTGATGTTTTGATGGTAAATCCATGGAGCTATGTCTGTTTAACTGGATGCCCGTGCTGCTTTTATTGCCCTGGGTGACACAGCAAATGATTGATGACCCTCCCTGCTGGGTGGGTTATCACGTAAAGCAGACTGAATAACAGTTTAAGAGGGACGTTACTGTCATCCTTTGTAAACACATGACTCATCACAGAATACTAATTCATTCACTGAGTGTGCAGGGAGCTTAACCATGCAATGTTGCATCCAACACATCAGGGCTGATTTAACGTCTAGATTTTTGGAGGTTTCACATAAAAGTCTTGAAAGTTGTAATGTCTTAAAGGATCAGTTCACCCCAATTCCTCAAATCACGTATTCACGCTGACCTTTTTTAGTATCTAATCAAGCAAGATATTTGTAGACTGACATTTCTGCAGACACCTCATGGTCAAAGTCAGTAATTTAATAATTGTCACTGGATAAAGCTATAGTTTTATGAACAGAATGACTACCTTGTTGTCACATTTTTGATTTGTTTTGTAGTTTTAAGGTGAACAATCTAAAAAAAGAAACATCCACGATGCTGTTTTGACACTGCACTCACTGTGACTTCACCACACTCATGTTTTGTTTTCTACTGTTGTCTACTACTGTGTTTTCTTCTTTTAGGCAAGTACTACTTGTGTACAGAAACAATGAAACACAACCTACTCCTCTGCTGCTGTCGCTTCAGTTTCCCACTGGGACCATTTATCGCAAGTGGTATCATACACTCACATACTTTCACACAAGCACAAACACAAGTGGAGGAATAAACCTTAATTTGAGCTGATGCATGCACTCCCATAAACAAAAAAAACAAAAGACAAGCGAGGTTCTGATATTATAAACAGTCACACACAAACACACTTCTATACACACACACAGACACAGACACACACACACACACACACACACACACACACACCAGACATGACCTGTTAACAGCTATGATGGAAGGGGGCTAGCAAACTTTTTATAAGAGATCAAGATTTTAAAATGGAGCTGGAAGGGACAAAACCACTGTCCACAAAGCTACAGCAGCCCCCTAATTCCATTTTAGATCTATGATAAAAAAACAACCTGTGGTTTGGACCGACCACATGTGAAGGCACTTGTGGCTTAGAAAGACAACTTTTAAGAAAGAGACTAATCAGCTCAGCTGAGGGAGTGTTTTTGAAATTTAAGTTATATAGTCATATATTTAAGTTATATATTAAATTCGCTGTCAGTGCAGAAGTTTGTCTGATGTTTATACTGCAAGAATGTGGATGTTGGATGTGGCAGTGGTGGCTAATTTATCACATGATCTAATCAACCTTTACCTTTAATGAAGTGGAGTCCTCCAATAGTGCATCCTTGATCCACATTTATAATCAAAGGCTTAACGAGCAATATGTCATTACAGAAAGAAACAAACGCAGCAGATTCATTATCATTGTTATTAATATTATGCATGACACCCAAAGGTATCATTGATCGTGTATATCTGTGACAAAAAACAACTTCTAAAGCTATTTACTGTAATGTACATCCCCATTCAGAAATCGAATTTGTGCTAACAAGCCTGCAGATGAACAAGTGAGGTGGTGTCACGCCTGTTGGGTCATTGTCAGTTACTGCAACTGCGGCTAAAGAGACAACCATCATAATGTGTTGGTACCTGCTACTTTCCCTATACAGCTTATGGCCACGTCAAAAAGCTAATTGTTGTTGATGCGTGTGTCAGCTACGTAGCTAGGGATCATGTGTGTGTATATACAGCATGCTTGAGCCGCTATGTGGATGTACACCAGAGTCTTTCTGTGTTTGCATACCTGTGTTTATACATACTGTACGTGTGTCAGGCAAAGGGCAGGTGGAGCTGACAGATTCTGCATAATATTACTGAAGCTGCGTGGGTGCAAATCTGACGGATAGAGTTTTTCCAGCATCCTGCTGAGTGGTAAACAGATTGTTCAATCTGGCAGGCAGGTTGGGTGCTGGAGGAGTGAAGCTGCCATCGCTAACATCACATGACACTGTAGATCAAACACAGTTACGGTATAAAGAGCAAGGCTATTTAATATTTATATAAACACTTCCTGCAGGAATGCAAAATGATCTGTTAATAATAGGAGGATTGTTAATGCCTTATAGCTTGATTATGTCCAAACAGGACTATTTGTATTTAGTCTTTATTAATTTTGTGTTTTCCGCTTACTATACTTGTTGCACTCTGTTTTTGTTTTTTGTATTTAGTTAGGTTTGGAGCCTTGAATATTTAAAAAAAAGAATGCAAGAATAAGCAAGTAAAAATGTCCAACTCTATCTCTAACAAAACATGCTTGTGTACTACTAATTGGTTTTGCCAAATAGGTTTTGGAGGAAATGTACTTTCTGCCTGGATTATGTTTACTGTCAACTCTTTTTCCTTGCACTGCACAGAAGTCTCATGCATACAAAGCACACTGGGGACTGAGGTTCTGTGTCCCATGTGTTGCTGGATTTAAGTGACTACAGCATTTGGTTAACATTAGGAAAATGATCATGGTTATGGTTATTGAAATAGTCAACTCATCCAACTTAATTTTTCAAATCTTCCCCTAGCCTTAACCAAGTACTTTGAGTTGGCAGAACATAACCATAAAAACATGAATCATTCTTCATTCTAGTGAGATACACTTCTATTTATGTACATTTATAACTAATGATTATACAGTTAAATCTGGTTCTGCTCTTTGAGGGAGCTATAAAAGCAGAGTCCGGGATTCTGCTGGAGAACTGATCCACACTAATAAACATATTAAATCTCAATAAAGTCAATATATAAGGAAGAGGTAACAGTGGTGGAGGGAGCTGCAGCAGCAGACGAAACTGGCATGGAGATATCAGCAGATTAAAAGTGTCAGGTTATAATGGCCACTGTAAACACCTGTATGAATATGATAGGATGTTACTAGTCAGTTGGTAGCAAAGCAGCTCATGATTTTGCAGCATGAGTGAAATAGCTGCTGCCAGCAACCTCAACTGAAGCTATGTTCTATTTGCCAGGAGTAGGGAAAACAAATGAAACGTGAACATTTTGCAGATACATTCAGTATGAACAGTTTGTGTTGGCAGTAAACAGTTCGATATGAACGTTTACTTGTTATACAAATAAAACAATCTGGGCACCCAAAAGTATTTGGCTAATGCAAATTAGATGTATAAAAATTGAGTTTGTATGTATTTATTTTGGACTATAGTATATACACACACACTATAACACACACTTTTTATTGAGAGGAGAATGAGAGAGAATAAATATGTTGTTACATACGAAGTCTTTGGGGGATTGAGAGAAGTACAGAGAAATTGTTTAGATTATTTCACAGGAAACTCTATAGCTCCCCGTGTCATTCAGATGCATGATGGGACACTGTTGGTTGGTGCCTGGCAGGCTACCAATCCAATAAGGGAACAGATTGATTAGATCCAGGACCCCCTCCCTACCTTCGGTTCTCCTGAACTGGAGAGGCTTAGAGCTGGAAATGAGATTTTCATTCACACCCCAAATCCACCGGGAACGCAACTCCATAACCCTCACAAAAGCCATGAAGCAAAGCAGGCTTTGTCTATAATGGCATGGCTGTGTGTGTGTGTGTCTTGCTAAAGTGGAGCGCAACATGTGTGTCTGACTTGTGTGTGCAGCCAGCTGTGATTATGCTGATGAGGACACTATCTACTTTGCTACTCATCTTTTTCCCTCCCACATACTCTCTTTGTGTGTTGCTCTCAAACACACACACACACAAACACATATAACTTAGACACACAATATATATACATATATATATATATATATATATATATATATATACACTAAAGCACACACTCACATGCACACACAGACAGAGTCCCTTCGTGGTGTGAAGCCCGCTGTGTGTTGTAATTTCACCCTCTCCCTGCCGTGAGGAATAATTACATTGCTCACTGACTCCTCAGTCTATCTTCTCTGCTTCCCTCTCATCCTCATCTTCTTCCCTGGCCCGCAACTCTCTCATCCCTCTCTCACTACCACCATCACAAACACACCTTCCCACTCTCCCACCCACCGTCTTTGCTTGCATTCGATTCTCCTTTATTCTGGCCAACTCTATACAGTCCGAATCTTTCACCACCTCCTTTTCATCATAACACAGCTGGCCTGACATATGTGAATATTTGTTTGTTACATTTAGTGCTGCGGATTGGTTGATTAATGCATATGACACAAAATTAATCGATTAAGTCTTTAATCAAGCAGAAAACATCAAGCATTTGGTGAGGCTTTGCTGCTTTTCTCAGTTTTATTTCATTGTAAATTGAATATTTGGGGGTTTTCAACTGCTGGTCAGAGATCCCCTTGGACTCTGGGATTGTGAAGGGCATTTTCTTACAATTTAAGACTAATGGATTAGTTGAGAATAACTGAAAATAATAATTTAATTTGAATTTAAATCAATCGAATGCATTTTCACTTTTTCACACTTTTTGTTCTTGTCTCCTCTCCTCTCACACACAAGCACCACTTTGGCTGCAGCAGACTTCTGCTCTTATTTAATTTTGTCGGGTAATGCTTCAGGCTCGCGAGGGGTTTGATTATTTTCAAATGTTGTTTATTAAGAAATTTCTCTCTCTCTTTCTCTGACATGTCTCTGATGTGTCATGTGTTGGAAGTAGATTCTCAATGTCCAATGAGAAGAGGGAAACAGTGTAGCCAATGTGTGGCATTAGCCTGACCAATTGATAAAATGAAGCAAAAATATAGCATTGGGTCAGGTTCAAGTCAAAATGTAGCAGTTTGGCTGAAAGACACTGGTTCTGGAGGTGTTTTTGAGTTGTGGTACTACTTTGAATTGGCACACACTCACACAAAATCTGAAAGTGGACCGATTTAAACGTTTTAACAGGTTTTTCCTTTTAGTTTTAGCTAGGCATTAGCTTCACACACAACAGAATATCAGGCTCTGTGATTGGATGTTATTCAAAAAAATGAAAATGAAAAAAAGTCTTAACGTGCATCAATCTTTACTTCAAGAACAATGGATGCCCAACATAACTCCTCCCACTTTGCTTTTCTCTATATTTCCATCAATCCAGTAATCTAATCGTTTCTGCATATCAAAGGCGGTGCATGACCTCCTCTTCCAGTGGACGGCCCATCTACATTTCTGCTGGAGTCAGGATGTGTGTGAATGGATTTCTGCAGCGGCGGGTTCAGAAGGAAAGGCACAGTGTCAGCAGCAGGGAGATTATTGACACCGACACCAGCAGGATTGACAGCGTTTCATGTTCTCCGCCATTCCATAAATCCTACCAATTCCTATGCCCAACCTGTACTGTGTGTTCCACACACAACTTCAAATCCAAACAGTCTTTGTAATCCTTTGAAAACACCCCAGTCGGACTGATCTATCTTGGCTGTAACAAAAGAGCTGATTGTGTTGGAAGCAAAAGTGCACACTTGGCCCATCTGCCGCTCCAGGCAAGCCTAAGAAAATGTTTAAAGTAACAGAAGGAATTTTCAGAGATTGTTTGATACAAGTCTTTACCCTACAATTTAACCTTGAGTGGATTATTTGGAAATCCAACTTGAGTTTAGACCTGTTCAGATTACTTAGCCTATTCGATTAGATTTCTCACGCCTGAGACAAAACACTTTCCTGATATCAGACAGAATTGTCCACTTGTTACTTTCCATTTCAATCTTCAGCCTGGCATTTCCTCCACTCATTCAACTATCCCTAACCAATCGCTAGAGACCAATGTATCGACCTGAATGAAGCATTTTAAGTCAACACTGATGCATAGCCATGCCAACATACTAGTTTATCCAGGGTTTTGAAAGTGGAGCACAGTAAACAGTGCTGTTCCGATTTTAAAGTAATTGCTACTTTTATAGAACAGCCTCAATAACAGCATCTATCCTGTCTGTAACAGTTGCCATCGTTGTTATTACTCCTCCTTGGTTCTGGCAAACAGCTTGACAACAGTGTATAAGTCCCGATAATTACTCTTTCAACAGAGAAACTGCTGTTTCATGCCATGATGCCAGACCAGGATAAGACAAACTGGAGGGCAGATTCAGAGGTCTGGAACCATGCAAATAAAACACTGCAAAGCAAAACAACAAAGCTGTAACACAAACCAGTGAACTTAGAAATTTCTTGCGTATTTTCGCCTTATTATCCAGCATAATGCCAAGCATCTGCCGGTCTCCAATCGGAGGAATGGCTGCTTTCTTTTTATATCACTGTAAATTGAATATCTTCGAGTTTTGACCTGTTGGTCCGACAAAGTAGGCTGACAGCATCACCTTGAACTCTGGGAACTTGTGATGGCTGTTTTACTAGATATAGATCAAACCATTAAACAATTAATTGAAAAAAGAATCATTATCATTAATTGGTTATGAAAATAATAATTAGCTGTTGCTGTGGTCGTTCTCGCTGTGCTACTGTACCATTAAGCCATTTCGAGTTGTACTGTGCAGTCCGTAGAGGCGGCATGCCACCGAGGCTGCGGTATATGACTGGGTCACGGCCGGAGAAGTCGATGACGGTGGCGGCATACAGCTCTCCGCTCTCCGTCACCACTGCTGTAGAGTTGTGACGAGGGTCGTATGGGCAGCGTGCCACACCGTTCAGACGCTCCAGCACGCTGCTCATGTTGCCCACCTGCGATGGATGAAAGAGAACTAGTGAGACGAAGAGAAGCAAAGGATTACAGGTTAAGTCTATACTGAATTTTTACAAAATGACACACACAAACACACACTTAGCCGTACCTCTCTGGTAATACATAGTGGCTGGAAAGCATTGGTTCCGCAGGTCATGACCTCGGTCTTGTTCACCAGCAGGACTCTGATGTAGTTCTGACATTCAATCTGTAGAAAAGCAGGTGAAGAAGAAAGCTTTCAAAAAGTTACAGTAGAGCAGGGAGCAGCTGAGGTGGCAGGCTAAATATTCTTTGACGTGTTGCGGAGAAGAACAATGGAGCAAGTCCTCTGGTATCATACTGGCAAGCAACCAAAAGCAAAGCAATTCAGTGTCTGCATGCTTTCGCTCTGTAAGTCCATTGTTCAAAAACAAGAATACTCGTTTGCAACTGAATGGAAGCCTATTTGTGACATCGACAGAGGCTCCACAATAAGTCAAGCATGTGTTTCAGCAAAAAGAGTCAAATCTGTTTTAACAAAGGCATGAAATGGATTTATTGGTAATGAAACGTTTTATGTAAGTATCATTTATTTTAAATGGTGGTGCTTTGTGTTGTGGCAAAGGACTGAGGTAATTGCAGTGACGCAGGTTTTACAGAGAATTGATTGTCTGTTTTGTGTATTAGGTATCGCTCTTCACTCTGTAGCCACTGTGGGAGATAAAAATGACGTTGCAATCAGTTCTCACAAAATAATCGAAATAAGACAGCTGATCGCAGTGTTGGTTATCAGACATATTTGAAAGGAAGTTCTTTTGTGTCTCACTATCTTGCCCAAGGCTGTCTTGTGTGCATTTTCCCTCTCTTCCCTTTTGCCCCTCTTTCTTCACTGCAAGAAGAACAACTCCTGATTGAAGGGTGAAATAGCTGTTCTGTACAGAACCCTCCCATGAGACCCATAAGGACCTCGCCACAACAGCCAGAAGATATCAAGATGGCCTCTCTGTAAGCCAGGCAGCACTGACATGAAGTGTTGTAATTGGGGGCGGGATCGAGGTTACCTCTGTTTTGCCTTTGCTCTGACAGGACCTCCTGGTATCCTCGTCCGGTGCCCATTCTGTCGCCTAGGAGACAAAAACAAGAAAAGGCGCAAGGATGACAAAGAGGGCGAAAAGCAGTCAGCTGAGTCCTTCAGACACTACAAAACAGTTATGCAACATCTGACTGTTGCTAATACTGTAGGCACGCACAAAAAGATGCATGAAAAGACTTTAACCTCATTGCTGTTTGTTTATTGTGTAAACATGGCGACCGGCTTGCCAGCCAAGAGCTTATTCGAGGGTAGCGGGCAAGGTACCCAACGAAGCAGTTGAAGGGCTGAGGACGGCATTAGCATGTAAATGGATTTCTCTCCATCTTCTTCTTCTTTCTTCCCCTCTCTATCTCTCGCTCGGGAAGTTTGCAGCACTCGCCTCCACTCTGCCACCCCCCAAACCCCCCCCACCCCTTTCACTTCTACCAGCCAATTATATTCCTGTTGATGGTTGTGTCTTGGGCTTAATTATGGATGCAGGCAGCAGCACTGCACGACTGCACTGCAAACACACTAATGCATGTACATACACACATGCTGCTTGGCCACCAGAGCCGCACTGGCTCTTGTAAAGAGGGTTGAGAGATGTCCCTCTTTTGGCATGAAGTGCATATGTACAAGGTGCCAGAGAAGCCCCTGCTGTGTGTCACTGGCCTCATTTTACTCATCCACCCCCATCTCCTCCTCTTCTCTGATCTCACTGCCCAAGTAGGAAGGTTGCCTAAATGTCTAAAAGTAAAAAAGTCTGCCATTATATAACATCAATCTATCTCATTCTCCATCTTTCTGTCTGTTCTCTCTTTATTTTTTTCTCCCTTCTCCCAGAAGGATTATTATGGTACAAAAGAGGACCCATGGCAGATCATTATCTAGTTCTTATGAATTGCCTTTCCTGGACAATTGGCCAGTGGGACAAAGTTGTGACCCAACATTCAGTGGAGCCCGCGACTGAGGCCAACCAAGAGTCAATACTAAACTGGGTCAGTATTCCAGGAGCCAAATGGAGGACTCAAACAAACAGTACACGCCAGGGGAAACAACTAAGGCTGATTCACTACGCAGCTCATCTTAAACACCTACATGCAGTCTTGGACATTTTCATTTTTAGGTGTGAATTTGTCCTGCAGTGATATCACTCCAGCTTTTTTGGATCCTCATTTTGCTTTAATTAAAGCTCAGCAAAAGGAACTAAACACTGTATAGCCCCAAGACTCAGGGATGAATTCTGCGGGGAAAATATAGTTTTGAGTTAATCACATTTTTTCCCCAGACCTCAGTGAAGAGAATATAGCTCTTTAGGAATATAAATGGAAATAAAACAGTATAAGCACACTTAATGAGAATTTAGGAGAACTGCCAAAATCTTTCTGAGGACAAAATGTGGAGCTAAAATTCGCTGAGTGCTCCTTTCTGTTTAAAGTATATAAATAGATCTCTTATTTCACAGATCATGGAGTATATCGACTATGCTTGAATGAGTGGAAGTTCATGATTTTGGATGATTAGCCTCTGCATAAATTCTTGCTAATGAGCGAAAACACCAGACTGAACAAAACTATTCACAGCCTAATGAGCTAGTCAAACATCTGCATATTGTCCTGGGATTTCTTTTATTGCTTGCTATAAACTTATATTCATAGACGTTCATCGGTATGTGATAGTTTTTTGATTGTTCACACTGCCAGAACTACTTGTGCAGCCAAAACAAAGCAGAAGAAATACACATTTTTGATGCCATGCTTGATTGTCTGGGACAACAGCTCAAAAAAAAACAAAAAAACAAACCCACCCACTGTGCACTCTCTCCAAAGCAACCCCACTCCTTAGACAAAAACATTCATTTTACCTTGCAGTACAGAGGAGTTGCTCGTCTACCACTGCTTCGATCGGCAGCAACGAATGTTAGTTACAATGTGTTAAATATTAATATTATAAAGTCACATAATAATACAAACAAACTAACTGATCGAGCCAAAATTACTGTTTTTGCCAGTGGCTTTGGAGCATAGATTGATATTAACTCTGGGATGGAAATATTATAAATATAGTGTACATGTAAACTGATATGAATAAGTAGCTCATACAACCCCTCTTCAATAAATTCTAACTAATCCTTTAAGCTGCTAGACTATGTTCACTATGGCCGCTAACTTTGCAGCTGGAGACCAGGTTGATGAGAGCATTGAGAGTGAACCAAAACGGTAAGCTGCAGTCCATGAAACCAAGTGCTGAAAGACACTAAAATGCTCCACAGAGCTGAGGGGAACTGCAGAGTCCAGTGATACGTTTGCAGCTTCACCCAAGTTAAACTAAGAATAAAAGCCAGAAAGAAACTCTGTACAATTATATGTAAGGGTAGGTTAGTCAGAGATTATGACAAATTCATTAGTGTTTTAAAGCTATGTTTAGCTCCTGCAGCACCGGTAAGTGGGCTCTGGTCCATATTGATAGTTACAGCTCATCTCCCTGTCTCCCATAGCAGCTCCCTTCAATTAACCTGCTGCAGACTGCACTAGAGAGAGAGAGAGACAGCAGCGGGGGACAGCTATATAAAGTAAACTGTGATTAAAATGAAACTTGAGAGCTCCAGACACTGAATATGAATAGACGGAGAAGTAAAAATACCAAAAGTAGCTAATGTGCTCTGCAGGAGCTCCACTGTCTAGTCATGCTGCTTATGAGCTGCCGCCAAACAGTACACACACAGCCAACAACAACCTCAAATCCTCTTCCCATGAGCACAGGGAACAGCGTGGCACCTGCCATTCAGAGAGAAGACCCGCCCCCTCCGCGGCAGTCCATCACTCTGATTGTTGAAATGAAAACACTGCTCCTCCACAGCCCCTGCCTGTCAGCCCCTGACAGCCTGGGGACTGATGGGATGACGTCATTCTAAACACACACACACACACACACACACACAGGGTGATGGATGCCTTTGCGATGAATCATGGCTTGGGGCATTACCATCTTTTCGGCAGGGCCCCGTCTCCAAGGATCCCCATCGGCTTAACCCGCTGACCTTCACCAGAAAGTACCCCTTTCCCCTCCCTCTCCCCTGCCCCTCTCTCTGTCCATCTCCTCTTCTTCATACCACTTTGGAACAAAGCCACACTCACACAGAGCCTGTGAGAATACCAATCCCGCCTCAACATCCTCTCCCTCAAATACCTTCCCTCTGTACCGAACCCTGAAAGGCCTGGCTGCCATCAACAGGATGAATTAAAGCTGTATAATGTGTGGGCAGGATTTTCACTGAAACATGTTCTTGTTAACAACAATTCAACATAAAAAAGGTAAGAGATGAAGAGGGAAAATAATATTTTCACACGTTCCCTGTTGATATTAAGGTTCTCATTTGCTATATAATTATTCATTTGTAATTCACTGTAGTTCACTCTGTTACATTCTAATCTCTGTTGATGAAGGGTTATTAAACATATGCAAAACCCTTGGACATGAAAAACAGAAATAAAGAAATGAATCAAATATATAGATAATATAAAAAATGCAACAGGTTCTTTTTACTTTTTTATTATCTTCAGAAATGACCAATTTTGGAGTCATCACTACATTAAAGGTTTAATTAGGTCTAGGTACAAGAACTACTAAAAGTGTGTTGAGACTACTGATACCTATCTCACATCTGTACACTAAATATGAAGCTACTACCAGATGCCAGTTAGCTTAGCTTAGCACAAAGATTGGAAACAGTAGGAAACACCAAGCCAGGCTCTGTCCAAAGTTAACAAAATTAAATTCACTAATTGACACTTTATATCTTGTTTAATCCATATAAAAAGTGTAGAAACTAGAGACTGTCTTTATGCTAAGCTAAGCTAGGCAGCTGTTAGCTTTATTTCTGCCGTACAGACATTAGTGTGGTATCCTCTCATCTTACTCTTGGCAAGAAAGCAAAGAAGCTTATTTTACAAAATCTTCAACTATCGGTTTAAGGTCAGGGAAAGACTGTGTTCATGGTTAAAAGAAACCAATGTTGACTGTCAGTGGGAAATGGGAACCAAACAATGGTCTCCCATGTCAAAGTGACAACCCCAACCTCTTAACCTAGCCACCATGTCCACCAGAACTGGCTATATATCAAATTCCATGATGTTGAATTTCATGACATGAATTTTTTATGGGCAAATAAAATGGCAAAAAAATACAATTAGTAGCAGGAAAGAAGATTCATCACTTTTACTGCAGAAAGATGGTGGCTGGGCTCGAAAATGAATTCTATTTTTACCAGAATATATAGAGAGAGAGGGAAAAAAGAGAGACGGAGAGCGGGAAACACTAATGAAGTAAAGAGAGTTTGCGAGCAGTGGCGGCTGCAAATATGGTCGTTCCTGAAATGTGGCACTGTGTTGATAAGGCCGCTGACACACTGCTAACATCATGTGTGACAACTAATTATAACTCATGAATATTGTAAATAAGTGTGTCAGGGGAGTAATGGTTGTTTGAATAGGAGCTGTCTGGCACTTGTTACAGTCAAGATAGATTTGTATACCAATGCAATGGGATGGGACTGGTGTGAGTTTAGTCTAAGTATAAAAAATATTAAACAATTTTCAAACACAGAGTGTAAAAAGTTAAGAATCAGAATAATAGCCTATATATTGACTAACAGTTAAGCTATTACTTAACTATTGATATATAAAGAATATCAGTAAGTAAATTGCCTGGAGTGTGACAAAATGTTAGACTGATAACTCTCTACGCATTGATAGTGAATGCTGTCTTCAGTTAGGACATCTAAGAGAAACATTTCCTTTAAAAAAAATTTTCAAAATGCTTTCGAGCATGTAGAATAAATAAATATTGGTTTATTTATCATTCATGTAAGCAGGGAATTTGCATATCAAAAACTGGAAGATATTCGTAGGAAGGGGAAAATATCAGTGTCTTATAAACTACCTCCTTATGTTTTCATCCTCAGCCATCCTGCTATGTTTCACCACATAGCTTTTTCCTCTAAATGTTACCTCACCATTGAGGAAGGGGAAAGAAATACTGAGAGACAGA